GACCTAATGATCTCATAAAAGAGTACAACTTGGTCAAAGAAACTCAGTAAGTTGTAATTGAACCCAACTCCCATTCTCGATTTTAGACCAAGACTTTAAAATATTACCTCATTCGTGTGTCTTGTAGTTTTCACCCTCAATCACAACCTCAAATCTGCATTATCCATTTATCTTCTCTCTTTCCACTATAATCATCTTCATGATGCAAGGACCAATTGAATATTTCTTAGTGAAGTCTGGATTATTTCTAACTTTATGTAATTTATGTTCTTACTGCAGAGTTTACTGCACAATTTAGTACAATTGCATGTTAAATTAATACATAGCATTTTCTCATTGTTATTTTCTAAGATTTCCATAAGGTTAAACACCATAGTTAAGTATGGAACACATAATGAGAGCTAAAGAGAAAAAATGCAAATATCTTTATTTATGCTGAAATAAAATATTTTAATTTGTAACTTAAGGAGTATAGACACATATTTACATGTATATTTGAAAAATATGAGCAGGCATGTTTATGTACACATATATGTAGGTTTATATATATATATATATTTTTTTTCCTTTAAATGTCAGAACATAAAACAACTTTAATTCTAATAATTTATTTTAATCTTGATAAAAATGCCATTGAAAGATAGAAAACAATGGATTCTAAATTATAAATGTATTAAAAGGCAAATGAAATACTTGAACTGGTCTTATATGAAAGGAAACTGGCATGTCAAATATTAAAGTAAATTGTGCAACTACAATAATTAAAGCAGTATAATCTCAAATATCACACTGAAAGAATATAAAATACAAGTAAAAACTGTTAATATATACAAAGTCTGATTATGAAGTGATGAAGGACCTTCAAAAGTATCTATAAAAATAAAATATAAGTACTTATTTCTTATATGGTAAAGATTTTTAATGTAGAAAATATTGAAAATACTAATAGAACTTATCATACAAATACAAATATAAAAAGAAAGACCATGAACTTTCCTAACACTGCCAATTAGAACAGGGTTTCTGGAATATAATTTAGCAATTTGATAATACACACTTAAAACCACTTAAAATTTGATTTAAAAAATCCAAGAATATTTCATAAATAAATAATTAAACAAGGGTGAAATGACTTTCTAGGTGGTAATTATCTCTTAATTGTTTATAATTTTAAGATCTTGGAACATAATACAGTGCTCACTAAAATTGTAAAATAATCATGTAAAAGAAATTGATAAAGACCAAATAATGTTGATGTATTTATGTATTATGTATGTGTGACACACTTACATATCAGTGTATGCATATACATCTTGACCTATATTTGTTGATACCATTTTAAAAACCAACTTACGAAAGATTCAAGTTGATTCATGTATAGATCAGATGTTAAATTTATTTTTTCTAATTTTAACATAAATAACTTTTATGTCTTCTGGGTCAAGAAAAAAATATAAGAGTCCATATACATTATTTTTAAATTACTCTGGAAGTTGTTATAACCAAAGACCAAATAAATGTGTTTCATATCTTAATGCATTTTATTTGATTCATGAAATAGGAGAAATGAGTTCATTAGCAAAGTGTGAGGGAATAATTGTTGCTATTTTAATATCACAAAACAGTACAAACTATTTTCCAAACATTAAAATTCAGAGAATGATTTGAGCAGAAGTATCAGTGTTTTCTTTATTTTTATCATTTAATGAATGGCTTCCTGGAAGCTATATCCTCCCTAAGATATTTTTAACAGTTAATTGTAAGAAGTAATTAACCCAGAAAGCTTGCAGTTTGCTTCTAAATACAGATTCAAGAACATCAAGTAGGTTCTAAAAATGTTCAAAAAATTTTCCTTCCATTTTCTTAATATAGGAAATGTCACCAAACTTTTGAATTTCTTCAAAAGTTTCTTTATCAAAACCCCAATATTTGTGACATGGCCATACTTGGTTTTAGCTCTCAACTTTACATTGTGATATAAATGGAAGAAGGATGCAGAGAATCTCTGTAAACATTGTTTATAAGAAATTACATGCATCGTACATATGATTCAATTATTTTATTGTACCCTTTGTACTTACTATAAAAGTAGGTATGTATATGTGAGGGGGGCATATTCACAATATATGAACATTTCAATGAACTACAGAAATTCTAGGGTCTGAAAATATTACTAAAATTTACCATATGCTCTCCTATGCAGCTTGAGTCAATACATTTCAAAGAATAAAAAGTAAGCAGAAAATATTCTCTGAGCAACCTTGATTTAAGCTATACTTAGAGTATTTTTTAAAAAGCAGAAATTCCTATGTATTTTTAAGTTTAGTGACACCATTCTGAATGATTCTTGAATGAACAAAACAAAATCAAAAAGAAAATTTTGAAATATTTTGAGCAGATGACAATGAAAAATAGAATATGTTGAATAAATCTCAATTTTTGCTTAATGGGAAGTTTTCAGTCATGAGAGCATATTAGACTTTAAAACTTAGAAAGAGAAGAATAAATTAAGCTCAGAACAAATTAAAAGAGGGAAATCATGAAGAAAAAAGAGAAAAAGTAATCGCAAAGACAATTTCAGGCCCAGTTGTCTGTGTACTGAATACTACCATACACAAAGGATAAATATATCATCAACGTAAAAAGACTTTCTTAAAGAAGATAAGGACAGCATAACCTTGATACCAAAATGTTATAAGAACAGTAGAAGAAATTTGAAAGTCAAGATCTTTTAACATATACAAAAACATTCCTGAAAATGTAGAAAGTCAATCCAGCCTTATACGAAAATGTCATACATCTTAAGCAAGTTAGACCTGTTCTAGGAATACATCCAAACATTCTAACACCAGTCAACTTAATTCACACCAATTAAGAAGGAAGAATGAAGAAAAGGATGTTCAATCATCTCAATCAAAAAGCTAAACAACATAAGAGGATTTAATGTATACAATATGTAAAACATCAATATAACATTAATATTTCTGCCGTGTGATATTGGCACTAAGTACAAATATAGACACATAAAAGAGAAGGAAAGCCCAGGAACACACACACATGTATACACATACACACATCTCTGCAGCCTAAACAGTATTGAGAGGGCAAAAATGAAGCAGGAGAACTTACTCTACCAAGTATTAAATACTTTATTTTAGAGTAAGTGTCAAGACAGTGATATATTAGTGCATGATAGAAAAACTGACCAATGGAACAGAATAGCCTAAAAACAGAGCAGATATAAATGGATTTGATTTATGATAGAAATCAGATGGCGGAATACTAGAGAATAGATTTTTTTTTCCTTTTTTCACTCATATTACTAGATCCATAAAAAACAATTTAATATATACCTCAGATTATATAAAAATCAATTTCAGATGTGTTGTAGATTTAAGTGTCAAAACCAAAATAACCTTTCAAATATAGAGTAGATCAGAAACAAGAACAACAATAAAATAACAATAATTAAGTAAATGATTGATGAGTTGGTATAAATTAAATTTGTACCAGTGAAGGACACCATTATGAAAAAAATGTAATATACCACATGAATAAAATAACTCATTTGTAATTTTTTAACCAACAGAGAATATGTACCAAATATAGAGCAGAGTCAATCTTTTTTATTAAAACTTCAACAGAAATTCATATATATGTACACTAAATAATATATTCAAGCATGTTTATAGCAGCAAAATTTATATAATAACCCCCAAATTGGAACAATTCAAATCTATATCAACACTACAATAAGTAATTTATGAAATATCCAGTGATGTACCTTGAAAAATGAATAAACTCTTGTTAACTTCAATAAAAAAAATGAGCATCAAAAATATAATGTTGAATGAAAATGGAGGTCTGTGTTTCTGAACTGGAATAAATAATAATTTTTTGTCTTTTGACCAAGATAATGGTTACTTGGACATGTTCATAATATAATATTTCATAAAGTTTTTCCATTTATCCTCTTTAATATTTATATTATAATTCAATAAAAAGTTCACATAAATATATGAAAGACAGAACATCATATACTCATGGTATAGGATAACACTGGTAAGTGAATGCTGTGTCTTATAGAACATGTATGGAAAGCATTATAATAAGGGTACCTACTTTGGAAACAGGTACATTGATTAAATGATGGGTCTACCAAGGTTTTCTTTAAGACTTAGGTAGGATGCACTTTTGGTCCTTGGGGCCTTAGCATCTTTGCTACAGTTGTTCAACTCTTGACATGAGAGCTCCCATAGATTGTAGATGAAGAAACATGTGGCTGTGTTCCAATTAAACTTTATTTACTAAGAGTGGCAGGGAAGATTTGTCCCACTGGTCAATTTCCAATTTCTGCATTAAATAATTAAACTATGAATAGAGTAAATGATATATTCTTATCTATATGTTAGAGTATTGTAGTATTTTTCTCATCCTTTTAAAAAATGGGTGCATTGGACTTAATTCCTCTGAGAATCCTAGTTAAATCATTTTTTAAATTTTATTCTTTTCAAAATTTTCACATTTTTCTTCTTGCTATAAATTATATTTTTACAACTAATTAATCTCTGCAATATTTCTGTTTTTTGCTTAAAGGTATATTGTACCCTGTATAACCACATTTAAATCTGATTCATTTTAATCTTTTTCCTTCATACAGAGAATTCAGGAATGTAATATGTAACCAACAAGACTATTATATTATAACATTATTTTACTTACTCCTGAGAAGGATGTTTATTATCAGGAGTTACTCATTTCATTAAGTAATGGCTACAATTTGTGTTTTGCTAAAATTTAGTGTTATATACAGGTATTTTAAGCATTAAGGGTTTCTAATTTAGAACAGATTAATCTACTTCTGGTTTTGTTGATTTTTATGGTGAAATAATCTATTTACTTAAATCTTTCTTCTTTTGGTAACAGCTTAATTAATTTGTCAGACAAATGTTTATACAATACATACTAAAACCATGAATTTCCTTCTTAAATCGTTGCAGACAAGAATTGGACCCATGTAGAGCTGAACTGACTATTCTAGGAAGAATTATAGAAAACAGCATATCTATTGGTGACATGCCTGGAAAACCACTGTCAAAATCATGGTCTGTCTTTATTGGTGGATTACCAGATCTTCATGCAAAAACAAAGGTAGTTTCATGGATGTTATAAAAATATTAATTATGTCATCATTTTGAAGACAGAAAAAGGAAAACTTTAAAAGTGTTTTCTGATTAGTGGAGTCATCTATATAATTTTCAAAAAGAAATTTTGAGCAATTATATATATATATATATATATATATATATATATGTATATATTTTATATATACTTGGAATATATATAAATATATTCATAATATATATACATATATATATCATTCCAAGTAGACTTAAAGCTTTATGTTCTTAATGAATAGAATTGTTCCAGTATCGGACTGTTTTTCCATCTTATGTCTGTAGTCTGTATATAATGTGTAATATCAAGTTGTGGGGTTTTGTGCACTACTAACTCAATAATTTTCATTGGATATGTTAATGTGCTTGCTGAAAAATAAGCCAAAAATATGACTTGAGAAATGGGCTTAGTAATGTTTAAGGACTTTCTCTATAGTACTTTGTGTCCATGCCAGCCCACTCTCTAAATTTCCATTTGGATAATTACCTTATTTTCTTTATTATTAAGTTATATTCTAGGATAAAAGCCTGCACGTTGACTTAAATGCTATTGATTATGTGGCTCCATTTTTTGCTATTGCAGAGAATTGCCCTAAAAATTTTAAGATTGCTAACTGTACCAATAGCTTATTACAATTATGAACTTTTTCTCTTACTAATATTTACCATTGCATTTTACATACTAGAACATACTATCTTTGTGTTAGAAATTTAAAATGTTCTTAAAGTACCACAGTAATACAAATTGATATAAGTCTACTTAACTATCATTATGGTTTCTGGTATACATGAGGTAAACATTTTAAAAACAAATAAACATGAAAAACAAAATTTTCTTGCATATTTGATTTGACCCAGAAGCATTTAATAAAATTACTTCTGTACAGTACTTACTGATACATTCTGTATCAGTAAGAATGAAGAGACTATTTTAGATTTAGATTTACTCCATTAGCAGTGCATTTATTGATCATTAAACAGACTTTGTGACTTTTTCTATAATATTAATGTGTTTTTTGACTAGATAAACAAATCTATAAGTCCCATAACAGTAGAAAATGTCTGTTTTGCTTATACCAAGATAAGAAAAGTTTCTGTGACATAATTAAAGTTTCATTTATATTCTAAGTGAAATATCCATTAAAGAATGGTAAAGAGATTCTAAAATATACATAAATTAACCTTTAGCTATTTAAATTTGGATTGATTTCTTATCTTGATATTATGTATATATTACCCAAGTAAAAAATAGGTTTTCATATAGACTCTTATCATTGTAAGTATACAGTAATTAAAAGCAAGTACTAAAGATTCAAGGGGGCTAATATTCTATTGGGAAGATACACCACTATTACTAATATAGTTAAGTATCTAGTCTTTTATAAATATGAATAATATAAAAATGTAATATAGGAAAATATGTAAGAAAGTCTACTAGCCTCCCTGGGGAAGTCAGAAAGTTTGTAATTAGGTAGAAATTTGAGAGAAGATCAATTCTTCCCAGTAAATAATGTGCAGGCTTGTCCTTCTGGATAGAGGCAAGATCACACACTGGGCCATAATTAGTGGAGAGGTAGGTGGGGAGAAGAGGGAGAAAAGAAATAAGAACTGAGCAGAAGAAGGACTTTTAAAGACAAGGTGAGCAGGAGTCAGAGCACAATTAATTCTATACAAAGTACAAAATAGTATAGATTTATTTATATGCTAGTACCTAGGAAACCATTTAAGAAGTTTTAATTGGAAGTGACATGCTGTTTTCACATAAGAAGAGTAGAACTATAGTGGTTTAGAACTGGTAAATTTGGGTTACAGGAATAATAAAACAAGAAATGATATTATGGCAATAGAGGTGAGAAAATAACTCTGAAATTGTTATCAAAAAAACTGGTATTTGAACAAGCACTTTTGGCTTTGTAACTAAGTAATTTGTGGTGCCATTTTTTTAAGTGGGGAAAACAAGATTATTTATAGGAAAAATGGCAGGTTTAGTTTTGCATTTACTTTTGGGCAGGAACAGTAGAACTGTATATAACCAGATACTTAACTGGCTTGGCAACACCTCTAATCTACTTGTCCACTATATCAGTATATTCCTGCTAAATATCATTCCTGTCACTGGGACAGTGTGGTATAGAGAAAGTAATTTAAAATATGGATCTTGACTCCACAAGAGACCCAGGAGCTATTGCCATGTGTATCTGTACAGCAGAAGGTAGAAGTCAGAATCATTGATTAGATTGATTTTGTAGTTTAAGAGAAGATATGGTAAAGAATTGGAGATCAGCAGTCAAGGAGTGGGCTTGGAAGAGATGTACTTTAAACTAGTTAAGGAATAGAGATCTTCGCAACAGACAAGAAGAATACCACAAAAACATGAAAAACGTTTCCCAAAGAAGCATGAAGTGAAAGGATAACCACCAATTTCAGGAGAAGAATAAGAACAGAAATCAAGTTGTAATATCAGAAGGGACAGTAAATGAAACAGAAGAAGCAAGGGAATTTTTTTGTTGTTATTTTTTTCTGGAAACTTTTTAATAATAAGAGAGGGAATGTATTATGTAGAGAATGGGTAAATAATTTTGCAGATATGTGATAATGATTGACTATATTTCTAAACATTTTCTCCAAAGACTTGTCTGAAAGGAGTATAATTTACTAAAGGATTATCTTACTAAATATCTGATATAAGGTATCTGTACATTTATTGCAATCAAATTTGGAGAAATATTTACTGGTAAACAGACCGCTAAAGTTACCTTGAAATTAAAGGGAAAAAAAACAGCCAACAAAGCAGGTTTTCCCTTCTGGTTAAACTTACTGTGTTTGAAAGATTTTAAGTCAGATCCTTAATGAGTTTTTATTCTTTTCTTACACTGTGGTGGTGTCACAGTAACCATATAAATGTGTGTGTTTTTTTTTTTGTGTGTGTGTGTGTATGACATACACTTGCATTGTACTAAATGATTAATACATGCATACTATAAAATGTATCTGGACAATAAAACTTAAAGAGAAATTACGTGATGAATCAGAAAAAGAAAAAGGAAAACCAACTTTGTAGGTCTTTCTCTATAAAATGCAACTCCACTGAATATCTAAATATCATGCAGGCTCTAACTATCTAATTATTGTGTTCTGATTAAGAGCTGCTGTTTAAGCACAGTGGGTAGTCAGTGCTCAGAAAATTAAAAACAACAGGTTTTCAGCATAAAACACTAAGGGAAGGAACTATCGTTGATTCTTCCAACCAATAAACACTAAGTTACACTTATCCTCTAATGTCTAAGTTTCCAATAATGTCTTTCTGTACTGGCCAGAGCCCCTCCACATGAGAAGAGTCTGTGATCCAATGTGTATGTACTGACAGGTTGTTTAATGCTCCCTTTAACAAAATCACACAGAGCTCAGTATGTAAGAAGAAAATGAAACAGTTAGACACTCTCAATTTTGTGCCTGGAGTATGAAAAACTCTGTGTCCCCTGATGACCTTAAATGATAATAACTTCCAAGGTCCAAGAGTAAATACCTCCTCTCTGATGGTAGGAAAATTTTCCTTGGTAGTACTTTAATTCCTAGTACATGGACTCCTGTTTCAGGCCCAAGTTACTTAAGGACACCAAACCTTAAACTCTAGCAAATGCAGATCAAGCCACAATTCTATCATCTCTTTACTAAATACAAAAGGAAATAAAATAACTGTGTAAATAAATATTATCAATAAAAATAAAGCTATCAGTAAATAAATATATCAGTAAAATAAATATATCAGTAAAAAGAGGATAATTCCACCATAGGAAGTCTAATTAAATAGGCATTTACATAAACATACCCACTGATGAACATAAACATAAGCAAAATAATAGATAAATTGAGATTTCACTGCACCATTTCAAAATGCTTTGCTTCTTATAGAGGTAATATGGTAAGGCATTCATTTACTCATTCTGCCAGACTTATCATTTGGGCCTCTAGTTGTCTATTCTGTCATCAATGACACCTAGCTACAATTCAATAAATTGTCAGATTCAGACCAATCCAATGAGAATTATTTCCCATTCCTTGCAAACAGAAGCATCAATTTTAATTGACTTCTACATGAGAAGTCATGCCTTTCTTAGTAAACCAGGAGCCCATTGCGTACTTACTCCACTCCATAGTGCAAAAATGACTGCCATCCAAAAAAGAGCAAACTCTTTCCCCACTGCTCCATGTTTTTCACCAACTGCTCTTACAGTTTTTTTCTGATCTATCTCTTTTTCAATTCTGCATTTCTTTCTCTGTAAAACTCTGAGTGTCAAAAATCTGGAAAGGCTTGTGTCTTATTTTCTCCACTTAATCTGTCTTTTTCTAATATGCTTTTGAAAAAATTTTGTATTTGTTTTAATTATTTATATATGACAGTAAAATGCATTTATGCACTTTGATATATCATACATAGATGGGATACAATTTCTCATTTTTCTGTTTGTACATGTTGAGGAATCATACTGGTCATGTAGTCACATATATACATATAGTAATAATGTCTGTTTCAGTCTACTATCTTTCCTATGCCCACATCCTCTCCCCTCATCTCCCATCATTTCCCTTTATCTAATCTAAGGTAACACTATTCTTCCCCAGTGTCCCCTGCCTTATTGTGAATTAGCATCTGCATATTAGAGAAAACATTCTGCCTTTGGTTTTGTGGGATTGGCTCATTTCAATCAGCATGATATTCTTCAACTCCAACCATTTACTGGCAAATGTCATAATTTCACTCTTCTTTAAAGCTGAGTAATATTCCACTGAGTATATATACCACATTTTCTTTATCCATTCACCCATTGAGGGACACCTAGGTTGGTTCCATAGTCTAGCTATTGTGAATTGAGCTGCTATAAACATCGATGTGTGCTGGTGGGACTGCAAATTGGTGCAACCTCTATGGAAAGCAGTATGGAGATTCCTTAGAAAATTGGGAATGGAACCACC